TTGGACTGCCGTTCTCATCTACGTTGTCATATTCACGACGTTTCGGCCGTTGTACGCTCCGGCCTTCTTCAGGTGATTGGAATTTCGAGCTGAACACTGAACAAAAAACTTGGAGTGTTGAGTTAAAAGGAAATAACTGATACTGAAACATCTGGGAGAGGCATGGCACGTGGAACAATCAATCCGGGTGGACGAAATAAAAAGTTCAGTTCGAAATTCCAATCACCTGAAGAAGCCCTCGAAACGTCGTGAATACAGCAAGCAAGATGAAGACAAGAGTCCGAACAATGTAAATAATTATCAAGCACATGTACTAAAATATTGTGTCACCCCATAATGAAGATTCTGTGATAAATATCCCGAAACGATTGATCATCTTTTGTCAGGCTGCACGACATTGGCACCCACTGAATATAAAACCCGGCATGACAGAGTGGGCCAATATCTGCACTGGAAAATCTGCAACTTCTACGGGAAGGAAACTGAAAGAAACTGGTATGAACACCACCCAGACCCGGTTACGGAGATAGGACCTGTTACAATTCTATGGGACTACACAATACACACTGACAAAACAATCAAAGCCAGCCGCCCAGACATTGTTATTAAAGACCACAAACAAAAAAAGTGCTTCCTTATTGATATGGCAGTCCCTGCTGACTGCAATGTATCTTTGAAGATATTCAAAAAGTTGTCAAAATACAACGACCTTGAAATGGAAATCTAAAAAATGTGGCATATGGGAACATCAACAATCCCTGTTTTAGTTGGAGCCCTAGGACTTGTTGGAAAAGATTGCAGTAAACTAATTGAAGGATTCCTGGAAGTCCATGCCTCAAGGAGATACAAAAAATTGTTCTGATAAAGTACAGCCTACACTTTACGAAGGGCTTTATCTATGTATTTTTTTTTTTTTTTTTTTGTCAGTGGAAAGTGTCATGGTTCCATTTCTAACCTTAGGTCCCTGGGCGGACCCGGAAAGAAATGTGTAAACGCCAGAAATCAAAGAAAATAATAATAATAATAATAATAATAATAAGAAGAAGAAGAAGAAGAAGAAGAAGAAGAAAAAAAAAGAAAAAAGAAAAAGAAAAAGAAGGAATATAGTAAAATCAAAGAAATCACGTCGCTTCGTATATTACTTATCCCCATAGCGTTTATTCTTTTGTAAATAAATTGTTAAAATATATTAAATTGATCGATTGCCTTACTTTTTCAGGCATACGATACATTTTAAACATATTTTTGGATTTGAATAATTTTTTTGGAGATAACTTTCTGGTGCAAATCTTACTATGACACGGAAAAGACGTGGATTCATATCTTTCAAGGATATTTGCACGTAAGTGATTATAACGAATTCCACTGCAATTTGAACTCGGATCCCCGATTCCTCATTCTGGGCCACTATGCATTGCATTATTTGAATATCCCATCTTACACTACCTGCTATTGCTAGGTAGTGTCCACGTTCGACATTGCTTAACTTCGGTGATGAGAAGAAAAAATAAAACATAAAACGATAATAGTTATCAGATAAATAGCAGTTTAAAGGACTCAACCTATGACTTCAAACTTGAGAGAAAGTTCGATCGACTCGTCAATGTAAGAGTGATAACAAGAAGGTGAATTGAGAAAACTATCTTCCTGGGAAGATTTTTTTGAGAAGAAAGATTGTATACATTTCAAGCGACTGTCGTACTGGATTTTCAGTTAATGAATGTCGAATGTTTCCTGATAAGAAAACGACAAATTGTTATTACCATCAGAAAATATTACAATTGTCATTACCATCAGAAAATCCAGTTGAGTCTTTAAGTTGTTCCCCCCCCCTATTTCCGAGTGTCGAGTTCCTTCCTGTTCTGAAAATGTTTGAAAAGTCAGTTTTGTTTTTGTTAAACACTTATGTATTAAGTCCGTTGAGAAAGGCGTGCTTTTTCTTTCCACCTGAAAGGACTGGTGTGTACTAGTCATGAAACCCCAACGGGGGCGTCAAACTTGATTATGGGCTCACGGAAATGTTTGTAGCTCTCGCTATCTTATCAATATTTGTTTTTACATTTATATACGTTACAAATTAAACTAATCACAACTGACTATTAAACCGTGAAAAAGTTTTACGGATTTTGATGTAATTCTGAATACCATTTTTTTTTGTCCAAATTCATAAATTTTATTTACTCATGTTAATTATTATAAGAACCTTAAATTAGTCTGTTTTTCTTTAATATATATATATATATATATATATATATATATATATATATATATATATATATATATATCTGACTATTTTTCTATCTATATATGAACTATCTATATATATATATATAAATATATATATATATATATATATATATATATTTATATATATTTATGTATATATCTATCAATATATTTATATATATATATATATATATATATATATATATATATATATATATATATATAGAGAGAGAGAGAGAGAGAAGAAAGGTCAACACTTAGAGGCGACAGTCTGTTTCATGCTTTATAAAATTGTTCAAATTTTAAACAAGAAAAATCCGAAGTTAATGTTAAAAATTGCATCTGAACATTCTTGATTTATTTCAAAATGGAATGATCTCTCATAACATGTCTCTAATTTGTATCAAGATACATCGTATTTATTTTCTATTTTTCTCGTTGAATTGTTCGCCTATATTACATATGTAGTATTGTACCCTTACATTTCATATGATCAAGTATTGTGCATAATTAGGTTATAAAATTTGTATTTTATATGGATACGAACTGATGAAAATTGAAATGTAGTAGAGTGGGCGTCCCTTAACATAAATTCAGGGGACCCCCGTATCATAGATTTGGTGGGGGTCCACGAGACTTGCACTGACCCTGCCACCTGTTATATCTTTTCAACTCAATTTCTTTAAGTATCCTGTTTTCAGTAATGCATATTATATTGCATGTTCTTTATTGCACGCAAATGATTCGCTTTTAATATATAAAAAAAAATATTGTAAAGCTTTCTTCTTTTTTCGCCCTCTGACCTAAAGCAAGAAAACTGATTGTTTCTCTATATTTGCTTCTTATATCTTGCGTTGCTTTCTTCTTAAACTCATTCCATTAACTTTGGACTACCCCGACCTCTTCTTACGCAATTCCTAGTCACGAATATTGCCAAATGATAGCATGCAAATACGTTTGCCCTCGACACTTTGGCGCGTTTTCCAGGGCAGTTTTTTTCCCGCGAATATATTTTTTTGTCTTTACCTGATCGAAACGATGATTTAACAACTATTTTAGTTTATTGCTTTGCCTTCTCTCAATATTATCTAGCAATCAAGTCTTCACCGTTGCAATTATTTAGTAATTAATTGTGCAATTAAATAATTACAGCAATGTTAATTGACGTGGAATCATAAGTTTTCGTCTGTGCAGTCTGAAAGCATGTGTTAAAATTAAATTTCTGAACTTGTTAGCGGGAATCAATAATTTCTTTAAATGGGGCTTTTCTTTATAAATTATTATATTTCCATTCGTTATAAACATATTTCTTAGGAAGAAAACCTAGGCGTTATAATAAAGTCATAGTAATCTCTATCGTTATTTCCCTGTCAATGTTAGTTGTTTCCCCAGGCAGAGCTCAACCCTCTCCAGAGTGGTTTGAATTTGGGAGTTTTCCTCTCCTAGACTAGATGCCAACCAAGTCTATAGAAAATAGCCTGTCCTGAAATTTACGCATGTCTTGGAAGGAGGAAGATAGATTCATAATTTACCAAGAGTATTAACACACGAGCAACCTTGGAAATCTTGCGAAGTTATGTTTTTTAATGACTCCGTCGTTTTCTTCTTAACCTCTTCTACATCTGCAAAACGTTTTCCGTTGAGGACTTTCTTCATTCGGGGGAACAAAATAAAAGTCGCAGGGGTGAATATGGAGGGTGGGGAAGTGGTGTCATGCCATTTTTGGTCAGAAACTGTCTAACACTCAAGGCAGTGTGCACTGGCTCATTGTCGAGATGCAAGCACCACCCCCTCCATTTTCCCACATGCCAGGGCGTTTTTCGTCTCACCTTGTCTCGCAAACGCTTCAGGACTTCCAAGTAAAAAGCCTGGTTAACAGTATGACCAGGAGAAACAAATTCTTTGTGGAGAATTCCTTTAATATCAAAGAAACAAATCAGCATCGTCTTGACATTGGACTTCACTTGACGCGCTTTTTGGGGGGCTGTGGTAACGTTGGATGCTTCCACTGACTTGATTGCTGTTTCGTTTCCGGGTGGTAGCCATAGCACCAGCTTTCGTCACCGGTGATGACCTCCGAAAATATTCTATATCAATTTCCATCTGTTCTTTCAGTTTACAACAGACATATGGTAAAAATAGACGAAAAGGCATGAAGCACTTCAAAACAAATGTGAACCACGGAGCTGTACATCTTCTCACGATGACACCAGTTAGCACACTGATGTCTGGGGGTTGCCTCAAGTGGCATCTAGCCTGAACTAATACGGGCTTGTCACACAGTAAACGATTCCGTTTATCTTTGGATCTTTGGATCCCACCTCATAATTTAATGAGAAGAAGTCGACTGGATTCGAACTTGGTTCTTTGATTGCTCAATCCGAGCAGTTATACATTACTTCGCAGTGCCTATTGCTACTACGTTAGAATTTACCATTTATACCATCTTTGTTTCTGTCGTGTCCCCAAAGTGCTGTCACGCTTTCCCGTTTGGGATTTCCTTCACGTGGTTTTATTTAAATTGCTGTGCAATGTCAACATCTTATACCATTATTTATCCAGTTTCTACCAATCTTTGTCTTTCTGTTGCTGATGAACTTCCTCAATAGATGTGGTTTTCTTTTATTTTCTATATTTCTTCGTTTTTGGTTCTAAGGTGCCAGTCCAGAGAGTTCGAAACAGTATGTTCCTCACGAAGACCCACGGGCTTCATTCGCTCGAAGCCAATTTTAAACATCGATCTGAAAAAGCGACTAAGCTTAGAGACACATTACGTTGAAACACTGGTTTCCGTACGATCACTGAAGTTAAGCAACGTTGAGACTGGTCAGTACTTAGATGGATGACTGCATGGGTATACAAGTTGCTGTAAGCTTGGATGTGCGAATGATGCAATGTATAATGGCAGGGAATTATTAATCGTAAATACACTTGTGAAAGTTATGAATCGATCTCTTCCCCTCCAGCTATGGGTTAATTGTAAGATTTTATCAATAAACTATTAATATCTCATAATAAATATCTTTGGATCCAAAAATATGATCTGGCTTTAAATAACATGCAAAGAAATTAACTATTCAAATAAGAAAGCGGTATTTTACATATTTTCGAATAAGTTTGTCGCCAAGCATGAATTTCCCGATCAGACGAGTCTATTTAAGAACGCGGTAAGTTTACATCTGAATTCGTTGCTTTTTGTATAAATTTGTGATGATGAACATAGGCATTCGATGTTCTATTTCTTACATCCAGTAGTAAATGTATTAAAAATGATTCACACATGGATATATTCGAAGTGTTTATTATATAGTAAATACCTTCGAGGCAAGGTCGAAGACGAGGACCGAGACTAAGCGCTATCAACCCCAAAGAACTTGTGGGGATACAGAATTCGATTATCTCCCTTTGCTGAAGATAAGTCACAAGGCTCAAGTGACGAGCCGCTTGGTGACTTCACTTCATGCAGTGACGAAAGCGGCAGCCAAACGCAGTTCGTTTTACAGCTGCCAAACAGAAAGATTTCTTTCTTTTGCCCGGACAGAATGTAAATCTGCTTACCCCGGTGGCTAGAAAGATCATAGTGCCAATTTCTTTGAGGGATATATCTTTTTCAGGTAAAGAATGAAACTCAAGCTTCCAGTGCTCAATTTAGAAAAACCAAAGACTCGCTGTCTCTCCTTCGTGGAATATATTCTCGCCTGGGATATAGCTGAATCCGCTCCGTTTGAAACTGCAGTCCTAAACATAGCTTCTCCAGACAGAGAAGTATCTCCATATTATATGTAAACCCCATTCTTTTTGCTTCTCTTTACACTCTGCTTTGCCGTGTAGATATATATGATCTATTATTCTTCGTCTGGGACATATCTATACTTTTATATATATATTTTGGGTATGTCTTAGGGATATAAAAATCTCTCTGAGAACAAAGCATGTTATTCCTTTTTTTTTAAGCCATTATGCTCCGTCCTTGAAGTACTGTGTTATTATATCACCGATATAATATCGCCCATAACAGGGTGAGGACAAATGGGAGAATAAATATTTCTACCATCTCTCACTCTAGTTATATCCCGAAGGGTGGAACAAGCAGATGAGGATTAAAATAGACCACAACGATTGAACCAGCGGATGAAGAGGGCTACGCGTGATGGACATGCTACAGAAGGCGTCACTTGAAATTTAACAGAGTCAGCGGCATTCTGTTGATGTATCATTCCATATGTGCCGCAGAGGAAGATCATGAAATCAAGTGTGTTGCAGTTCACCTTAAAGAAATTTACGTCATCGCCAATATCGTCTAATCTTAGTTTCTTTAAACCTTAACCAATCGTTGCAAAGCCAAACTGCAATAAGGAAAGGATGACGGGATTAAGTTTTGGTGAAACTGAAAGCTCCTAATCCTGAACCTGCACGTTGGCGGCGAACTTAGCAATCAACGCCACCATCATAAAAGAGGAAATTAAATTCTTGGATACGAGATAAAGCTGCCAACGACGCCGTGTGAATAACTGAGCCTCTTGGCTTTTAAGTGGCTTTATGATTTTCATAACGTGAACAGTATTACTGAGGAATTAAACACACTACCTAACAATGTATATTTTAACATTCATGAAGATATTAATAATCGAAAGCGCTTCGTTTCTTACTGGTAGTGTGACTAGCTAATCTTTTTTCTAGATATTTGCTTATACATATTCATATATACTCAGAAACCACAGAGCCAAATTGTGATTTATAATGTATCTATGCTTAGTTCTCCTTATCTACCGTGCCATCTAAGGACGTAGCAGATCATGGCTCTCTACAACTCCCTATCTCTTTCTTCACTATTTACACTATTCGGACTATTGTCCTCATCTTTGTTGCCAACGTTTATTACATTTCGGCCGTTGTACGCTCCGGCCTCCTTCAGGTGTTTGGAACGTCGAATTCAACCCTTTATTTCGCTCACTGAGATAGAATGTTCTAGTTCCACGTAACGTGTCTAATGGATCTCAGTTATCAGTTATCTCCTGTTAATTCCCCTCTCCAAGTTCTCCACCGCCTTAACCGGGTATTGAACTCACGACCTTTTGGTCCTGTCACTGGATCTAACCAACGCCTTTATCCACTGTGCCATGTATCTTTGTCTTTCCTGTGTTATCCATTTGCTCAAGATTATTAAGCATGTCATGTGTTCTTTTCCTCTGCCCCCCCTTGCCTTCAATCTATCCTGTGATTTTCCGAGTCCCATTTCCTCATGCTGTGGCCTGGTATTGAACTGACAAATCTTTGGGTCTGGTCACTAGATCTGACCTAAGTCTTTATCAACTAGACCATGTGTCCTCAAGCAGTGGTGAACCAAAATTTGGAGAGCTGAGTTAAAGTGAAATAAGTGAAACACCCGGAAGAGGCATGGCATGTGGAACTAGAACATTCAACCGGACGTATAGTGGACGAAATAAAGGGTTCTGTTCGAAATTACAGTCACCTGAAATCGCCTGAAATCGGCCGAAACCTTGTTAATATGAAGATAAGGAAAACAGTCCGAATAATGTAAAGAATGCAAGTAATCATGATACCTCATCTCAGAGATATAGACAGATAATAATAATAATAATAATAATAATAATAATAATAATAATAATAATTGGGATGTTTTGCACATTTGTAAGAAAACTTCAATTTACAACATATTGGCGAGGATACAATAAATTCTATGAAGTAATACAAGAAAAATTCATGTCGGCACATACAACATTGAACATATCGAACTGGTGAATGATACTATCGTATAACTCTTGTTTTTAAGTATAGAAACTTGAGTTTATTTTAGGCAATTAGGGGCAAGTAAAGATCCCATAACTTAAAACATTTAGATCAGCTACTTATATGTAACTGCTATCATTTTAGCTACGGAACCTTGGAATTACGCCTTTATATAAACTTCATTTTCAAACATAGTAAATCGGTTTTATTCTTGCTTAAAAGGGACACGTAATGACCCCATGACGCAAAATATTTGGAGCTGTTTCTTGTTTCTATTTCCTTTAGCTTTGCAATGCTGATACGTTGTGATTAACGCTTTTCTATTTTATATTACTTTCATACATGTTTTTTTTTATTTTTTTATTATTGTTGGCTCCCCGGGGCACGTAAAGACCCCATATACTCAAAACATTTACATCTGTGACTTATTTCTACGTTCGTTCGATTTTCAATGATGACAACTTTGAAATACGCTTTTACATAACTTTTTTTCAAATACAACAAATTATTTTCTTTTATTCTTGTTACCTTGGGGCATATAATGATACCATAATTCAAATGATTTACATCAGGGACATATTTGTAGGTTCTTTCGTTTTTTGTCTTTTTTTTTTTTTTTTTTAGCTTTTTTTCTTCAATTGTAACATCTTTGAATTACACCTTTCTATAATTTTGGTTTCAAATACAACGGCTCGTTTTTTGATAGCTTGGGGCATATAAGGACCCCATGATAGAAAACATTTGGATCTGTTTCTTAATTGTTTATTCTTTCATTTTCTCGAATGTAGAATATTTTTTGCTACATTACATAACATTGTTTTTTAAACGTGACTCTTTCTTTCCTTGTCTTCGACAACGCCATCATTTTTCTTTTCTTTCTTTACGAGGATATATTTATTACTTTCCTTATTTTATTTTATTTTTTTTTTTGAAAGGGAACAGTTTGTGTTATCTTGTTTTATAGAAATAACTTGTCATAAGTTCAAAGAGAAAAAGAAATAAAAGAATGAAAAAAAGTAATTGCAATCGAATGGCGAATGGCTGACCAGACGGAAACATTGCCGCTTTTGATCAAAACCGTTTTTCCCGCCAAGGGTTTCTGTTTCGGCGTCTCGAAATGCATTAAGTCCTAAATGATGTCGTGCCGACCAACATCACGATCGATATTTGTCGTAGAGCATGCCGGGAAATGCATTAGACAAGTGGTGTGAAGGGAGACGGTGCTGATTAAGCGTTTTTGGTAGGTGTTTTTTTTATAAGAGTTGAAGAGGAGCATGGAAAGCCGATGTTGGAAATTTTCTCTAAAACTGGATCCCGTAGCGAAGCCAGACGCGGAATGCGCAGAATTAAATTTACGTGTCTTTCACTGTCATTGACGTGTCACTCGTGGCCTATATTCACTAGAGCGGAGTCCATCAGTTTTACACGTTGGTTCTAACAGGACTCAACGGAGCGTCGGAGTGTTATATCTGCAAAGCACACCCCAGCTACCGGTGGCTCGTTTTACCAAATTCTTTTCTATGAGGATTATTAGGAGTGGGATGCTATGATTGATTGCTTATGAGATCATGTGTAGAGGACCGTGTCTGCGATGTGTTAAGTATAAGTAGATGAGTACACGTGGGTTAAGATTTTCCTGCTAGCCGGTTCAACTACATGAGAAAGTTGGACTTTAATTAAGTCCAAAGAAGGCAAAGAAAAACAAACACAAGACCGATAAATATATGTAAACAAATATACGTATTAATAACAAGAAACGTTACAAGTTCCATGGACAGTTACATGGACACAGTGCGTATGCAGAATATTATGCGTGTGTGTGTGTTGTGTTGTGGTGAGTGTTCGTACGTACGTGTATTGTTCTTAGCGTGTTCCCAGCATTTGGGAAACGTTGTATCTGTGAGAGCTCACATCTACGAAGTGGTAAGGCTGAAAGCCTGAGGAAAAAGAGAATGTATGGTTTGAGATTCTTGAATGACGAAGAAGTTCGTAGAAGATATTGAACGGGAAAGAATTGTCGTCTCGATTAGCGAGACGGTAATTAGTAGTCGTTATATTTTTAAGCTTGAGTAAGCGGTCGAGAAATGGTCTGCTGCTGTTCTGCCCAGGTCTGCGTCTGCTT